AAAACAAGGAACTTAGAGCCCCTGGCAAAGGTTCAAATCCCACTAATTTTTAAATGGCAATTCCTTGTCTCTTCTTGTGACTCATTGTCTTTCTCCATTGTTTGTCTCATTGCTAATCTTTTTGTTTGGAGGAGTCCTTGGTGTATGGTGGAAATTAGCTATGTCTCCACCCTGTGTGTCAGGCTGTGTTTCTCCAACCCGTCTTCCTCCTGTGTTTAGCCCACCTGGTCCTCTTCAGGGGTCTCAAGTGGCCCCAGCATTTGTGTATAGAGAGGGCCAGGAGATGAGCATCTGTGGAGGGACGTCACTTGGTGGGAGCGCGTCCCAGGCCCTACCCCTGTCCCCTGGCACTGGCAGGTCCCTGTCATTTCCGTGGTGCTCAGAGGTGCAGGGAAGTGTGAGAGGGAGGAGGTGCCACATTCTGCCTGAGGAAGGCTCTGGTCAGGCATACGTGGGGCTGTGGCCGGGCATCTGGTGGCCTAAGAGAGGAGGGATGTGGCACCATTTGGAGAAGAAGACAGTCCTTGTAAAGCAGGGCATGAACGTGTCGCATTTGGGGACTGCATTCTTCAATTTCTTGGTTCTTAATTTACTGGGAATGCTTCCAAGCTTTTCAAGTCAGATTCATAAATATGAATCAAATGAAGGCCTACTGTGTGTGCTGTAGTAACTTCAGTCGCACACCGAGAATTAAAAAGTGTGAGCACACATTAAGCCCGGTGCACTGCAATCTCCCTCTGCACAGGAGAGGCAGACCGAAGTCCCTTCTTGAGTCACCAGCTGTTAAAACCAATCTGCTCCAAGTTAATGTCTGAATGCTCTGTCTGGGTACCCCACCTTTTCTCCTGCATTCCTTTTAGTAGATTTATCTTAACCACTCTCATTCCCTTCTAAAGTTGTTTGTGATAAATTTCTGACTCACATGTGGCCATAAAGGCTTCTCATGTCAAACATAGCAGGCAAAAAATCAGGCCCTCTGCGATTCGGTGAGCCTTGTGGCTGTGCAGGAGAAAGCCCTGCCCCGGGGCCCAACAGCGGGAAGAGCGCCTCTGCCCACAGCGACAGCGAGCACACCCAGGGTCCAGGTCTTGGTCTGCGGATGCCATTCCCCAAACCCGAAACAACAACTTCCTGGAGAAAATGACTGCTGCTGCTGCTGAAGCAGGAAATACACAGATTTCTGGGAGAAAATCCTGGGGTACATCAAGGCCACAGCCTACGGCACCCAGCGGAGAAATCCTAAGTAAGCGTTGTTCCCAGAAGGGGGAGGCACTGTCTACTGCTGGGATCTGAATGAGGGGCCTCCTAGACCTGCCCACCCTCCAGAGATTGGACAGGGACCTGCCCCTCCTCCACACCGTCCCTCAGCAGAAGGCCCAGGGGAGGACAGGGTGCACAGACGGCAGAAATGTTACAGGGACCGAACTGGCAGATGCCAGCAGTCCCCGGTCAGGAAGAGACCAGAGGCTGGTGGAAGGGTCCTGTCAGGGAGAGCCTGTCTGGGAGAGAGAGATTCTTCCGTCTCCACAGGGGTTTTCAAGGCATTGGCGCTAGACGGCAACGTCCTTTCCAGGGTCCCAAGGGCTATGGAGGCCAGTGCGGGGGAGCAGCCACTCCCTGACACAGCGGTGACCACACTCTGGTCTCAGAACAGGGCTGTCCTCTAACAAGTCCCTGAGCCGGAAGGAGGCTGTCCGCCTCAGCACTGCCTGGCCTCTCCAATGCCTATTTGCTGGGGACACTCGAAGCCCTCACATTCTCCCACAGAGTGCAACCAGGGGGCAAATGTTTACTCCACTTCCTGTACTTTATTCTGTTGCTGTGTGAAGTAATGACTTTTTTTTTTTTCTTTTGGTGACTGCTGGAGACAGAGCCAAGGGAAGGAGCCTTCCAGGCTCCAAGGAACTGCTGTCGACCAGCTCAGGCCATCTGACCAGAGAGGACCACACTTTCCTGAGAAGCAAACCAGCACAGAGAGCAAGGACATGAGTGGAGGGGAAACGGGGTGCAGGGCTCAATTGCTGTTGGCTCGGGCACCTTCTCAGTCCTGAGGGCTCCACTGCAGGGCCTGACCATCCCTTCTGGCCACCTCTGGCTGCCTGAGCCTTCAGCCCCAGGAAACCCGGCTCCCTTGGCCCTCTCAGGCTGCAGCCTCCACTCCCCAGAGGGCACCTCCAGGGCAGGGAAGAAGGCTCCTCCTCGCAGCTCTCTGGCAGGTTCAGGTCAGAAGTCTCCATCTGGGTCAGGCTCAGATCTGAGACCCCGAATCCTCAGCATCCCGGTTCCCCATGGTAACGCCCAGTCCCATCCCAGGTACAGAGAGAAGCTGAACCCAGATCTGTCCTCAGGGGATCCTGTCCCTACTGCTGCCCTGGCGTACCTTCCCTGGGCCCACAGACACACGTCTGTTCTAAACTCCACTCCTCCCAGATTCTCCCTCTAACTGCTCCTGTCACCTCCCAGGTCGCTCTGGGAGTGAAAGGGAGAGAGCGTCCCAGAGCCGCCCACTCCGCCTGTGGCAGGGCGCCACCTGCCGGCCGAGGCTCACACTGCAGCCCCAGGTGTCCTGAAGGAGGCCTACACCATCTGGTCACCCCTGGACAGACCCGTCCTGGGCACCTACTGTGTGCAGACGCCTCTGGGGCACAGGGCAGAAGCAAGGCCTCCCCTCCAAGGGGAACAGGAGTCTGTGGCACAGCCAGTCAGGGCAGGGCCTGAGTGCCACTTAGAGTCCCTGGAAGCAGCTCTGGGGACCTGAACACAGCAGGAGGCCGTCCTGGCTGGGGAGAGCAGGGCGCAGCCCACGGAAGGGGAGGGGGCCAAAGATGGGAGGGGAG